GGAATAGCTGTAAAAAGTGGGTGAACTGCACACCACTGCTATTAACAGGAAAAGCCAAACCACTCCACTCGTGTGTATTCCCCTCCATCGATGAAATACTAGTAATACTTCGAGTAATAACTAAAAAATAGTAAAATTAAAATGAGATATTTTTAAAGTGTTTTTTAGAATAAAACTTACAAAAGTAGCAAAAGTGACAAAAGGGGCGGCAAATTGGAAAGCGTCGCGTTGTTCGTCGTGTACGCCATACAGATATATACAGAATAAACAGTCGAGTAATGCAAACAGACATATGATGGCTACGGATATAATTCTTGACATGTTATATATATTCCACGGTATGAGTCGAGCCTTCGATCGGGCGATTATAATGCACTCCATGGGCGCGAAGAGCCACAGGAATGCCGACGGTATCCATATTAATACCGTTTGACGAAAGCATCTGTTGAATAGTCGAATACAGTTTATTTAATTGCATTCAAATTTAAAGTTATATATTTATTATCATTACTGAGAAAATTCCGGACGCGTTGTATTCCATGATTGGTCGTCGTCCTAAACATTTAATTTTTATTTTACTAATTGTTTTAAATTGTAAATTCTTTAATGCATTTAAAAAACAAATCGATCTGGATAAATTGATAACTAAAACTAAAATATCTTTAAAACAATTCATCATTAATTTTGCAGTAAATTTTAATTCTAAATGAAAAATAAATAATGTATTTAACAAAATATTGATTTGACTATTTGATGATTAATTGAGTGTCAAATTAAAGTTCTTATATTGCATATAAATTATATAATTTCTTATTCTTATATCGCACCTCATGTGAATGTATGTGAATATTATAATGTGATACAATATATATCATATATTATTATGTGATATTCTACATGTATTAAGCAATACATAATCCACCCCAGTGATATACCGTACATAAGAACTTTCCAAAAATTATAATAGATAACCCGAGGGTAATGCATGAAACTTTAGGGTAACAACTTATTATTACTAATAAGCCTTAAAATATCTTAACAAATACAGTATACAAACAATAAGCCTATTGTGCAAAAGTGGGACAAAATAATATTATGTTAAAATATCAATTGAAGGAGAAGTCAAACAAATGACAACATTTTATTAATACTACATTATAAAAGTGTTGAATTAAAATCTCGTTATTTGACAATTGTTTCAAATTAATCTTAATCTATTACAATCTATTAATAGTAAATTACAATATATTGTATAGTATTGTGAAAAATATAAAAAATATTATTAATTTGATTAAATACAGTAATTCAATAAATTAATGCCATTTGTTTGATGAGATCTAACTGTAATTCTAATACAAGTCATGTTTAATAAATACATTGTATAGCCCTTACAAGCAAGTTCTGGTTTCCAAAGCTTTAGTTGCACTCATATTTAGAAGTGCTTATATTACTGTATTAGATTGTTGAATAGATTGTTAGTGCAATATAACATTTATCAACTCCATGCTAAATGTCCAGCAAACAAGTATCCTTGAGCTTGCTAATTATCAAGTTCACTATAAGAATACAAATATATTCCTACATAAATATGGCTATAAAAGGACCAATCGGTAATAATATGAAAAAGAACTTTCAAAATAAGTAGCTATAATAAGTGACTTATGTACTAATAGTAAACTTATAGACATGTTGAATTTATCTAATCTTTGTAAGTTTGAAGATTACACTCTAATTGTTGTCTCACTTAACATAAACAATAACTAAATATAAATAATCAACAAATTGAAAGTCACACTTGTTTATTCAGTTTGCTATATTATTTGCATCTAATTCATAATTATTTTTAATATTTACAATTATATTTATAATTAATAATAATTAACTTAATAAATTATTGAATTGAAGAATTGAGCATGGTTATTTTCATATCAATAGAATGAAGAATCATTACAGGGGGTACAGAATAGTTGTATTGAACGGTGAAAACTAATATAAAATGCAAACACATAATCATATCATAGAATCGATATTATAAATAGTAATCACAAATTTGTTTAATCAATATTTACTAAATAAATATGAATATTCAAAATAAATTATATTGTATAGAGAAGTGGGAAATTATATTCATATATTTGTTTATATGCATTAAAAATAGTCAATACATTTGGGTTATTTAGGAAACATTTTTCCTCTAAATAGTAATAAAAAATAATTGTATGCATTAATGACAAGCTTTTTATCAATTAAATGATTTGATTGCACTCTAAGCTTATTCTGTATTAAAGACTACTAAATAATAAGTTAAAATAATAACATAATAAGTGATTAATAGATTTGATGCAAACATCACTTCTGTGTTAAATATAAGAAATTAAATGCCATTCAATAGCATTGAAAACAGGAAAGAAATTAAGTTTTAAATAATGTCTTTTTTGCATCGATTTATTTTTAACTACAACTGAGCAGAAAGTTGTAGTTTAATTGTAGTCCACACCAGGACTTTATGGCTATACTTTAACATGGGGTTAATGTTATTCTATTTGCTACTATGCTCATTGTATGATACTAATGTAAAGTCTACGGATAATGTTAATTCTATGGAAAATGTCAATCGTATAGAATCTATACTATAGATGATGTTATGTCAATGGGTAATAAATGTAGCAGTATAGAGCAGCTATATTAGAGAAAATGTTGATTCTATGAATAATCCTAAATCTATAAAAATATTTTAATTGGCAATTTCAAATTATTTTGCTTAAGCCGAATTGTAATATTATGGTAAACTTATGGCATTGTGTGCAACCTTGTTCAAAATATCATTCATTAATACACATATAATTATATGAAACAAGGTCCACACAGCGATGCTATACGTTAACCACAATTCGAGTAGTACTAAAATAATAGATTAGCATTACTGTTATATACTGTGAGTTTCCAGTGGTTTTTTCTTCATATGCTTTTTTGATCAAACATTTCAGCCTCATTCATTAATAACGTTTAGGTTTTGAAGTTATTTAACGTTATCAACATATACGTTATTAATGAATGAGGCTGAAATGTTTGATCAAAAAAAGCATATGAAGAAAAAACCACTGGAAACTCACAGTACAGATTTAATATGAATCCAATAGACTTAGCATTACTATATAATTAGCATTGCCCATAGACTTAGCATTCTCCATAAGATTAGCCTTAAACCAGGGTCTCTCTGAGTGTGCATAATTGGGCATTCGCGGGCATTGCTATAATGTATTGTCTATGGGAGCTAGTGTTGCCAGTCTAGTTTTTTAAGCCTACTTGGCATTTCCTGCCTTAAACCCATTGATTTAGAATTATCCATATATTTAGAATTACCCATATATTTAGAATTACCCATGTTAAACCTATGTCATAGACTTAAGCTGTAATCCCATAAAAACCCGTGTTAAAGCGTGCACATGTTATCCTATGGAAGAATGCCATAGGGTGGGGGAGGAGTAGTGTCAGATCCTATAAACCACATCTTCATAATGAATGATGAATTGTGGCTAAAAATGTGTTTCAAATTCATGAAGCAATGGATTCTCGAAGACTAAGAAAAGATGCGATTGTTTTGCAATTGATGTGAAAATAGTGTCAAATCATGGATTGGTTTCAAACAAATCAATTCATATTTCATTCAATCTATACTTTATATCGTATTTCAAACGTTTTGTTATTAAATCACTTCATATGAGAGACACAACAAAAACTCAAATAAAACTCATTTATATTCAGCAAAGAGTTGTCAAAAATGGTGTGAAAGCAAAGCTTACGACCACTTCTTCACTGCAATTATAATCGCATTTTTGGAAAACATATTTTCAATTCATTTTAAAATTCAAACTAAAGTTTTACTAACGAAACGAAAAGTGAGTTTTAATTACAAAATAAATACACAAAATGTGAGACAAACCCAAAAGAGATGTCCGCCGCAGAAGTCTTGGAACCACTCATTCATAACCATTTGGGACACCGATTGATACGAGATTTTTAGTTATTACTCGAAGTATTACTAGTATTTCATCGATGGAGGGGAATACACACGAGTGGAGTGGTTTGGCTTTTCCTGTTAATAGCAGTGGTGTGCAGTTCACCCACTTTTTACAGCTATTCCTTCGTTCTTCGACCCGATTATTATTATGAATTTATCTCGTATTTGGTTTATTTTTCGGCACTTCTTGTGCTCTTTCTTCTCTCTTGTTTCGCCGATTCGTTGCCGAAATACACACTGACTGCCAGCGAATCGGACGCTGCGGAAGTGGTCTCTCCTGAATCTGACGTCCAACAGGACTCTCCCGAAATCGAGGCATCATTTCTGTCCAAATTGACGTTTTGGTGGTTCAATGGGTTAGCCATTAAAGGCTATCGCAAAGGATTAACGAGTTCTGACTTATGGAAACTAAACGAAGACAACAAAACCAATACAATTGCCCCACAATTTGACAAGAATTGGTTGAAACAGTTGCCAAAGTCGAGAACTGAGAGTCAGAATATGGTCTCCTATCATAATAATGAAGCAAAGATTGAGACCAAAGTTATTAAACCGACTAAAAATCCGGGAGTCGTTACCACTTTGATGAAGACATTTGGGAGCTATTTCATGACGGGCGCGGTCTTCAAGCTATTGCACGATCTCTTGCAGTTTGTTTCGCCACAACTTCTTAAGTGAGTCTTTATTGGCGTAATGTTATTGTATTTATTGATAATTTGCTTCTTCTAACAGAATGCTGATAGTGTTTGTGTCAAAGCCGAGTGCGTTAGAGCCCGTATGGCACGGATACTTCATTGCACTCATACTTTTCCTGACGGCATGTGTGCAGTCATTAATGCTTAACTATTACTTCAATGTGATGTTTGTGATCGGAATGCGAGTGCGAACGGCGCTCACGTCTGCGATATACCGAAAGTCATTAAATCTAAGCAATTCTGCCCGAAAGGGGACCACAACCGGAGAGATTGTGAATCTCATGTCTGTCGACGCGCAGCGTTTTGTTGATTTATTAACGTTTATAAACCTGGTTTGGTCGGCACCGCTTCAGATATTTCTGGCCCTTTTCTTCTTGTGGCAAGAGTTGGGGCCATCAGTATTGGCCGGACTCGCAGTTATGATACTTATGCTACCGTTGAACGCATTGTTGGCCACATATCAGCGAAAATTGCAAATAAAGCAAATGAAAGAAAAGGACGAAAGAGTGAAAACAATGAATGAGATATTGAATGGCATTCGTGTTATCAAACTGTACGCCTGGGAGAAGTCGTTTATGGAGAATGTGTTTAGAATCCGAAACATTGAGTTAACAAATCTCCGAAATATGGCTTATTTGAGTTGTGTCTCCACTTTTCTCTGGTAATTAACAATTAACCAAAATTAGTTTGCGTTCGATATATAGTAATGATAATTATTTTAGGACTTGTGCCCCGTTTTTGGTGTCTTTGGTTACGTTTGCATTGTATGTATTGATTGATGAGAACAATGTATTGGATGCCCAGAAGGCATTTGTATCGCTGGCGTTGTTTAATCTGTTGCGCTTTCCGATGACAATGTTGCCACAGAGTATGCACTTTAACTTGTTTGAAATATTTGTACACTTTATTAATACCTATATTTAATTATTCTTTTATTTAGTGATTACTTTCATTGTTATGGTATGTGTAATGGTTTTATTTGTGTAATACTGTACAATTATATCTCTTATAGACGTCTGTTTCGGTTAAAAGATTGAATAAGTTTTTTAATTCGTCTCAATTGGAAAAGTATGTGACAAAAAATGAAGACACGGATGCTATCACTATAGAGAGGGGAACATTCACTTGGAATACAAAAGCAGAATCGGATTCTACTGATAAAACTGGAGACGAAGACAAAACTGATATTCCCGTTGCGAACACATTGATCGACATAAACCTGAAAATACCAAAAGGATCTCTTGTGGCAGTGGTTGGATCGGTCGGATCCGGAAAAAGTTCATTAATAAGTGCAATATTAGGCGAAATGGATTGCGTTAGCGGTAACGTCAACATCAATGGCAGTTCAAAGATAGCGTATGTCTCACAACAGGCGTGGATTCAAAACGCGACGCTTAAGAATAATATAGTATTTGGGAATAAAGTGGAGAAACAGAAATACGACAAAATCATAAAGTCATGTGCTTTGGGACCGGATCTGGCAATGCTTCCCGGGGGTGACAACACAGAGATCGGCGAAAAGGGCATCAATTTGTCGGGCGGTCAGAAGCAGAGAGTGTCGGTCGCGCGCGCCTGTTATTCAGACGCCGATATTGTTTTAATGGACGACCCGTTGTCTGCCGTCGACTCACACGTCGCGAAACACATGTTTGAGAAAGTGTTGAGTAATGATAAGGGATTTCTTCGAGAAAAAACACGTCTTTTGATTACAAATAATCTGAGTTTTCTTCCATTCGTCGACTCTGTTGTTGTTGTAAAAGATGGGAGAATTCACGAAACGGGAACTTACGAGCAGTTAATGGCAAATAAGGGCGACTTTTCTGACTTTATTCAAGAATTCTCTACTGAACACAAGGAAAGCAATGGACCGATGCTTCTGAACCGCCAGGAATCGGTTATTAGTGAAAAGATGGGCCGATCTCTCAGTATTGAAAAAGACGCCGAAATTGAAAAAACTAAATTAATTGAAACGGAAAAGACAGAGACGGGAAAAGTGAAGTTTTCTATTTATATGCGCTATTTTAAAGCCCTTACATGGCTTTGGCTCGTGATTGTGGTGATTGGGATGGTTGGCATGCAATTGGCGAGCGTTGGATCAAACGTATGGTTAGCCGTTTGGTCTAATGATAAGCCTATTAACGGCACGCAAGACACCGACCAGAGAAATATGAGACTCGGAGTTTACGGCCTTCTCGGAGCCGCACAAGGTTTGCGTTTATTATTTTACTGCATAAAAAACTTATTTTCAAATATATTGCATCTTTAAATAGCATTTCTGGTAATGTTCGCGGCGTATGGGATGGCGAGGGGAACAGTAATCGCTTCCCGTTCTCTCCATAATAGCCTTTTGGATCGAATACTTCGGTCTCCGATGTCTTTCTTTGATACGACACCTCAGGGAAGAATTGTGAACCGATTTAGTAAAGACATAGATGTCGTCGACTCCACTATTCCGCATACTATAAGGGGTTGGATGTTATGTCTGCTTCAAGTTGTGGCCACTTTCCTGTTGATTGGTTACGAAACGCCCATATTCTTGGTGTTCATCGCTCCGATTGGTTTCTTCTATTATTTCATTCAGAAGTTCTATGTCTCGACTTCCAGACAACTGAAACGACTCGAAGTGAGTAAACATTTAATATTTACTTTTGATCCTAAAAAGTAACCATTTGTTTGTGTGAACAGTCGGTCACGCGTTCGCCTATATATTCGCATTTCAGTGAAACCCTTTCGGGTGTCAGTACTATAAGAGCTTACGACTCGACTCGACGATTCATCGCTGAGTCCAATCAGAAAGTGGATTACAATCAAGTCTTTTATTATCCCAGTGTTTGTGCCAATCGATGGCTCGGCATTCGGCTCGAGCTCTGCGGCAATTTTATTACACTTTTCGCGTCAGTGTTTGCGGTCTACTATCGCGACGACTTTCGCTCAAATCCCGGTTTTGTCGGTTTGATTATTACTTATGCATTAAGTGTTACGCAAACACTCAATTGGTTGGTTCGCATGACATCCGAAATGGAGACCAATATTGTGTCCGTCGAGCGAATCAATGAATACTGTGATAACCCAACAGAAGCCGAGTGGGAGAGCGATGCCAACAATAAGCCGCCCAACGAGTGGCCCAATAATGGATTGATTGAGTTCGACAACTACTCGATTCGATACCGTCCCGGACTTGATCTCGTCTTACGCGATATCAACACTAAAATCGAGCCCTTGGAAAAGGTTTGCGATTAATTCGTTTGATTTCCAATACAAACTTAATTCAGACTTTAATTAATACAGAATATATTTTGAAAATTACGTATAAATAGATAGGAATCGTCGGCCGAACCGGTGCTGGAAAGTCGTCGTTAACTCTGGGTTTGTTTCGATTATTAGAGGCGGCGAACGGAAAGATTATTATCGACGGCATTGATATCAGTAAATTAGGACTTCACGATCTCCGGTCCAGACTTACTATTATACCACAGGATCCGGTATTTTGCAAAATATTGCACTACTTTTAAAGGTTTACTATAATTGAAATGTATTTTTTAGATTTTATTTTCGGGAACCATTCGAACCAATTTGGATCCATTTAAGATGTAAGAGAAATCTGTTTGATTTTCAATGTGAAATAACATATGGATGTGTTGTTTAGTTATACTGACGACCAAATATGGACCGCTTTAGAGCACTCGCATCTCAAACACCATATTAAAGGTCTTGACGCAGAGCTCGAACACAAAGTGACTGAAGGCGGAGAGAATCTATCGCTCGGACAAAGACAACTCATATGTTTAGGTATTTATTATTAAACGCTATTATTGTTGAATACATATTGATATGAATGTAAATGACTTATTGGTTGTGTCCACTAAAGCGCGAGCATTGCTGCGAAAGAGCCGTATCCTAGTTCTGGACGAAGCGACGGCTGCTGTGGATCTCGAAACCGATTCCTTAATACAGACGACGATTCGCAAGGAGTTTAAGGACTGCACTATTCTGACGATCGCTCACAGACTCAACACAATCATGGATTCCAATCGTGTGTTAGTTCTCGAGAAGGGTTTAGTCGGAGAGTTTGATTCGCCCAATAATTTACTCCAAAACCAAAACACTATCTTCTATTCGCTCGCAAAAGACGCCCGACTTATCAATTGAATAGCACTTTAATTCCAGTTTAAAAACATGCATTGAATGCCATTCAAATTGCCGATCATCTATGTGTTAGTTTGTCGTCATTAGCGCACTATTTATGTTTCAAAGGATTATTTCATTGTCTCAAAGATTATTAGTATTTTTACACAAATTACAAATTTTTTGTCTGGATTTAAATCTCTAATTTGCTTCTAATTATGTATTTATAAGTATTAATTCATTTGTTATGTTAATCTCATATTCAGTGAGTCTTTAATTTTAATATAATCTCTATTTATTGTTTGCTAATTAATCTCGTTATTAGACCTAATAATGATCTTTTATAGGAATCTATTTTGTTTTTAATTGTTTTCAATTGCGAAATGTGTTCACCAATTAGTTCTCATTAACTATTATTGAATTTTAGTAATAATTATAATTTAACACTATTTGTTAAAATATTATGACATTTACAAAGGTTCACAATTCTTCCCTGAGGTGTCGTATCAAAGAAAGACATCGGAGACCGAAGTATTCGATCCAAAAGGCTATTATGGAGAGAACGGGAAGCGATTACTGTTCCCCTCGCCATCCCATACGCCGCAAACATTACCAGAAATGCTATATAAAGATGCAATATATTTGAAAATAAGTTTTATATGCAGTCAAATAACTAATAAACGCAAACCTTGTGCGGCTCCGAGAAGGCCGTAAACTCCGAGTCTCATATTTCTCTGGTCGGTGTCTTGCGTGCCGTTAATAGGCTTATCATTAGACCAAACGGCGAGCCATACGTTTGATCCAACGCTCGCCAATTGCATGCCAACCATCCCAATCACCACAATCACGAGCCAAAGCCATGTGAGGGCTTTAAAATAGCGCATATAAATAGAAAACTTCACTTTTCCCGTCTCTGTCTTTTCCGTTTCAATTAATTTAGTTTTTTCAGTTTCGGCGTCTTTTTCAATACTGAGAGATCGGCCCATCTTTTCACTAATAACCGATTCCTGACGGTTCAGAAGCATCGGTCCATTGCTTTCCTTGTGTTCAGTAGAAAATTCTTGAATAAAGTCAGAAAAGTCGCCCTTATTTGCCATTAACTGCTCGTAAGTTCCCGTTTCGCTAATTCTTCCATCTTTTACGACAACAACAGAGTCGACGAATGGAAGAAAACTCAGATTATTTGTAATCAAAAGACGCGTTTTTTCTCGAAGAAATCCCTTATCATTGCTCAACACTTTCTCAAACATGTGTTTCGCGACGTGTGAGTCAACGGCAGACAACGGGTCGTCCATTAAAACAATATCGGCGTCTGAATAACAGGCGCGCGCGACCGACACTCTCTGCTTCTGACCGCCCGACAAATTGATGCCTTTTTCGCCGATCTCAGTGTTGTCGCCCCCGGGAAGCATTGCCAGATCCGGTCCCAAAGCGCATGACTTTATGATTTTGTCGTATTTCTGTTTCTCCACTTTATTCCCAAACACTATATTATTCTTAAGCGTCGCGTTTTGAATCCACGCCTGTTGTGAGACATACGCTATCTTTGAACTGCCATTGATGTTGACGTTACCGCTAACGCAATCCATTTCGCCTAATATTGCACTTATTA